ACAGTCACGGGATTCATACCCAGTTCTTCTTGTTTTTTCTTTTCTTTTATTTAATTTTAAAAATTAAATTTAGTTAATGAAATGAACATTGAAATTCTTAAGTTAACTGGAATTTGTCCTCAACCATGTTTTCTCCACTGCATCACTCTCTCCCCTGTGCAACGGTGCGGGCTCACTGCGGCTTTCCCATCTGGAACCTGATCATGCAGAGATATCACGAAACCTGTGTATTTCTCGTTCTTCTAATATTTCTTAAGACTGAGTGATCTCCTCATTGATAACAGTCAAAGTCTTCACTAGAAAAACACTATGCATTTGAATACATTTCGGGTCTACATACAGCACAATTTTATGAAGGAAAAATACAACATACAAGATCTGGTTTTGTTTATTTTCCAAGTTTCCATATATCTATATAGGATTTGTCTCTTTTCTATTGAAAACATTGCCATTCACCTCATACCATCAAATTAATTTACTGCCTTCATTTCTTGCACATAATATGGAAGTCACGAGGGGTGCATACAGATTCCCCGAAACCTCAGCTCCGTGAAAGAGCTTTCTCTGCTAGATCGGCTTCCGTTTGTAGCTTATAAATGAAATACATATATATTTCCTTTTGAAGTGTTTATCTAATTTCTATTTCCTACCAGGTGCTTTAGAATTATCCCTTAATGATTGAACTAAATGTGTCTGCATTTGTTATTTTATCTAGCGCGCTGTTTCTTTTCCCTGCCACTATATAGTTCAGGCAGCCCACGTGACAAATACAATGCATACTTTAGGAAGGTGCTGGCTTTATTTAGATCCCTGCAACACTTCATTTTGCTGATATGTGACATTACAGAAAGGTTTCTTTGATGGGTCAGTAAGACAAACCACATAACACTTTGTCTCTTGATTGTGGATCAATTGTACATTGATTATGGTACGGCTTTCTTCGGTGGCTGTGTTGGGAGCAGGCTGGATATTTATTAAGCTCCCAGGTGCTGGACTGCCACTATTTTATCAGAGACCATAAGTGATTTCTGACAATGAATACTTGAATATGACAGATATTAATAATAATGTTTTATGTTCTTTAAAAAATTATAACGAAAAGTTAGGCAAGGAATATGATAAACGCCCACAATGAAAATCAGAGTTCACAAACCACATATCGCTGTGGAGCAGACACCTGAGAGGAATAAAACAGCGTGAAGCAGAAGTTGCAAAAGTGAAAAGGAGTATGTAAATACAAATAAGGTATGCTCAAACGAAAAACGAAAATGGTTCATTCTTCAATATCAAGCGTAGAGCCCTAAGCCGATGTAGAACCTGCAATTTCAGGCTGAGGGCAAGAACTAGGCATTTTATTTCATCCATCCCCTCCTTGGACCCTCCTGCCTTTGGGCCCCCACCGCCGCATGGTTCACGATTTTGCTCTATTTATAATCCATGGGGCTCCTGTGTCAGGTTACCCGGTCTTCTGAGTCAGCAGAGGATTGCAAGCACAGCAAAAAACGCCAAGTCACTCTGGGTTAGAAGGTGTTCTCCGTATTTCACTCCCTGATGAGTCTCCTCCCGCGGAGTTACTTCGGAGGGATCTCATCGTGCCAAATGGCACGCACTTTTTTTAAAAAAAAAGTTATTTTACATCTCACAAAATAGCAAGTGGATAAATGGCATATTATTTTTATAAATACTGTTTAATTTCAAAACCAACCTGAAGTGGCTTTTACAGCCTAGGAAACTGCAGAGCTGAGTGGTGGGAAGTGCCCCCCAAAGCTTCCTGGCAGGGCCAGCACATGGGACCGCCTGATATCACACACTCACTGCTGGGTGTACCTGCCCCAAGTGCCCTGCAAGGCCATGTCTACGCTGCTCTGCTCACAGCAAGGACCTACCGAGCCTTCCTTAGGAGGAGCATACAGGAACTCAGCCACATTCAAGATGCGTGGATGTCCCAGCTTTCACGATTTTCAAATATTTCAAATGAAATTTACTTTTACTGCTCTTATATAAAGTCATTATGTTTTTGCAAATTTGTAAAAAACGTATGATGGCATAGGACATAAACGGCATTGTCTCTACGCTGCACCTCGAGGAAAGGAACAACTAGTATTGATTGAGGCGCGACCCTCATCAGAAAGTGTTTTACATCTCTATCAGTGTCGGTCAAAATTCTTATTTGCAGGCAATGAAAACTCTGCACATCTCAACAGGTGGAACGCTTATTGGAAAGTGAGAGAAAGGCATGAGGCGGGAAGGAACGGCATGGCAAGGGGGCAGGGATCAAGGTGGGTTCAGTGGCTGGCAGTGGTCATACGCCGCCTAACAACTGCCACGGAAGGGGGACACCTCAGCCACGTGTCACCCCCTTCGGGACATCTGCTCTTCGTGTCCCTTCCATCATCTGTCTCTCACTCCATAATCCACAGCTGACGGGCTGACCTAGCCCATCCCGCATGTATTTGTCGAGCTCCCAAAGGACGGAAGAAAGGGTGAGTCTCTTCCCTTATGTTTTCATCGTGAGAAGACTTAACATGGACCTGGCAGCTTAAAAGCTAAGCCACAAATGTCCACCACAGTTACCTCGATTTTTGTCTTGACCAACAATTCTTCAAATTTTATGAAAAAGTTAGATGACTCCTCCATTCTTTTTAATGAGTTTTGGTAAGTTCATTCTCAGAAACAGAACTTACGATCTTGGCGTCCATTCAAAGCATGCACTCTGAATGTGCCTTATGATCTTTGGCAAATTACCAAATCTATTTCCTGTTTTCTCTATCTACAATAATACACATACATTTTGTCTTTCTTAAAGAGATTTCACTAAAACCATGGATGATGCTAATTAGACTACAGACCTCCACAACAAGAAATTTAATTTGTAGTCAACATTTCATTTTACTGCTATAGATCCAATCAGTCCAGGACTGATTTTATAGAATTCTTATCTAGTTGCATCAGTAGAAAATCTAAAAGGCAATATGTCTGTAGGTGTCCATATTTCCTCTACAAATGCCATACAAGACAGAAGTCCTAGAGCTTTTCAACAGTGAGAAATGTGTCCTACCATGAGGATGCCTGCACTTTTGCAGGGAAGAAAATGAGCCTGGTTCCCTGCTTCCTTGAAAAAAGGCACCACAAGGTCACTGAAGGCAGAGAATTTGCTACCTGAGCAGAACGCCTGCATTGACAACTAGAAATGGAAACTTACTCCTGAAGATCTTTCCCATCTCTCTTTGCTTCTTAGCCAAATCCACGAAAGAGATGCCCACTTTATGCGCCTTCTTGTAAAATCAACCCTTTCTCTATGAACCACATTGTTGTGGGAGCCCTGGAAAGGGCATCTCCTGGCCGACCTCTGTGCTCTAAGGTACAGGAGTCAGTCTTATAATAATAAAAATCAAACCAGTGTTCATTACAAGTGGGTCCCCCCTGGGAATTACCTTAGATAAAGCATCTGTAAGGCTTACAAAGTAAAGTAAATGCACTGCTAAGGAACAGAGGGGAGATTAGGACTATCTGCTACTGCAACCAGTCTGTATTTTCTTCCTATTTCAGTACCTATATATCATTGTGATTTCAGCAGACCGCTTATTGTAAGATTTATTTTTAACATTAAAGTTACTGATTTGTCTCACTCCCTCATCAGTGTTATTTAGAAAAATCTCAGCTGATAACAATGGACCTGTCTATATAAGGCCAAATATTCAGATGCAAGTGCATCACTGGCTGGATTGTTGATTTTATGGAAACATCTGGATACTCAAAGTTTTAAAAAATATTTTTTAAAATATTTTATTTATTTATTTGACACCGAGAGACGAAGAGAGACAGAGAGAGAGAGAGCGCGCACAAGCAGGGGGGAGGGGCAGAAGCAGAGGGAGAAGCAGACTCCCCACTGAGCAGAGAGCCCGACATGGGATTCGATCCCAGGACCCTGGGGTCATGACCTGAGCCAAAGACAGATGCTTAACTGCCTGAGCCACCCAGGTGCCCCTTTTTAAAGATTTTTAAGTAGATATTTGACATCATGAAAGTTGTACCACAGCTTCATGCAAAATAAGAATCCTGTTGCTAAAGCAATAATTTTGACTATATTGATAACAAGCTCTTTGATATATTCTTGGTTGTGTCACCTTGATTGTAAACTCATCTTTCTGAAGATAGTGATTAAAACCATATTTTAAAATTCAGCATAAAAAGAACACTAGATTACATGATAAAAATCATTTCCCTTTCTAAAAATCCTAGTGTTTTTGTTTTATTTTCTTGAAGTGATTATCCTTACTTTGGTGAATTTTTTAAGGTCAAACCCATTAAGCATATACATAAAATCGCTGAAATACGTCAAAAACAGTTTTGTGAACCGTAATCTCATTTGGATTTCATGGCGTTCTCATCATTCGCTATGTTTTCTTTTCTTTTATTTACTTACTTTTGTAAGTAAGCACTATGCCCAACAGTGGGGCCTGAACTCACCACCCCATGATCAAGAGTCCCGTGCTCTACCAGGCGCCCCCAATGTACCATATTACAAATGCATCTGGGTTATGTGGACTTTAGGGGTAGAAACAGATATAGTGGCATAAAACCACAGGTGCCTCAAGCCTTTTATTCCCATGCTGTTGGCACCCAGAGTCCTCCTATTTGGGCTGAGGTCAAATGTGGAGAAAGTGTTAACATCACTCCGGGGATGTACTGTCATCTTCACTTGACAGTGATTTTTTAAATGCCACAACATAAATTACGTCTACAATATTCAACTTAAAAGTATTCATTAATTTTTTTTGTTTTGGGCATTCTTCTTCTTCTCTTTCTAACCAGCAGAAAGCCGGGAGACAGAGGAGGAGAGAGAAGGATGTTGAGCTGAAGACACTTAGGGCCGGAGTAAGGACAACAGTGTTTGCTAGTCCAGGGGGAATGCACGTTCTCGGTCACACTGTCATGAGGGTCTGCTCACCCCTTAGTTCCAGCTTCTGTTACAACTGTGAGGATGTGGGTGTCATTACCTGAGTGGTGTGGCTCTCTCTCTGTTTCTGAAATGAGGAGGTTGTGGAGCTGCTCACAGACAACCTGGAGAATCCATCTTCTTCAGGTAAACCTACGGAGGTCAACACCGACAAGCAGTTAAGTGTGTCCTTGCCCCAAATAAGACAAGCTATGTATCTGTTGCAATAAACGTGAACTGTTATAGTTCATGGATTGAAAGGATGGTCAGTACATGCTCCTTGAATAATAAATTTCCCACGGGAACACAAATTACTGTTGCAGTTACATTTAATAAAAGGGGAAATATGCTGGAAAAACAATAAAGTGGTAACGAAGAAATGTTCCATGGTGGCACGCAGGGAGGAGAGAGGTATTGGGAGGGGGGAGGGAGGAAAACTTCTAGAGACTGAAGATAGTTCCGTGAAGCAGCAATGGTGGAGGGAGAAGCATGTGGACAACAGAGTGAACGGGGTCCTTCAATGCCACAGAGGGAAGCTTGCGTTTCATTTGTGGGGTTGCAGGGAGGCAGAGGGGGATTCAGGACAGATAGACGCGGCATGAACTCTCTTGACTCGTGCTCACTGCACACACCGAGGGAAGGTAGAGACTGGGTGGAGTTCCATGCAGAAGAGGTCAGGACCCCTGTGTATTCACAGCAGACCAATTCCTCACCAACCCCGGAAGATAAACAACGGGTGTGAGGAAATTTATATCCCCCACCAAAATAATACAAAAATACCTGTGAGGCACCAAAGGGTTTTACTGACGATCCCTCAAGATAGAAGGAGGGTTTCCCGACCTCTGCACGGCGGACACTTTGGGCTGCCTCCCTCTCTGTTGTGGTGCTGCCCTGCGTAGGGTGTTTGGCAGCATCCCTGGTCTCTACCCCAGCTGGTAGTAGACCCTCGGCAGCTGTGATAGCCAAAAATACTCCCCCCACCCCGGGAGGCAAAAATCATCCCTGACTGTGCACCCCGGGGAGAGAGAGATCAAACAGCATCACAAGTGACTTGCTAATAAAAATGAATACCTGAAAAAAGAAAAGACACCTGATGGAATGAGCTCAATCCAGAGACATTACATTATTCAGTGATTGCTGCTCTTACCTAAAATCATAATTAACCAGGATGGTGTAACTGATTAAACATATACAGGCTTCCTAAATTAAAGATCGTTAGCAAATCACTGCACACTTTTGCAATTACAGGAGTGAGTTCTGCAGGGAAGTCCACAAGACCCCATCAACACGCAACAAGACCCCCGATCAATCTTCTTGTTCCATATACAAATGCCTTGGCACGGAGAGGTTAGTTTCATCCTGACTGGGCAGACTGGGGCCACCACCTGGAAAGTGACAGGACTACAGTGGGGGCCACAGGGCAAGACGGGTCCTGGCCAGAAGCAACAGCAACGTCTGAGGTTGGCTAGGAGATACTGCAGTAGAGACTGGTGTAGCAGGTGTGGGACAGGCGCCAATCAAACAGGGGTAGAGAGGTCTGGGATCTAAACCAGGTGGAGGGGGCGACAGAAATCTGAGCTCGGTCACAAGCTGGAATTCCAGGCAACCAGGTAAGCAGGGAGTCAGGGGTAAAATGTGTGTCCAGACTGCACGGTGCAGCAGAGAGTCTGGGATTCACAGGAAAGAGGAGTGCCAAAAGTGTGGGCACTGGTGGGAGGAACAAAGTGCTGACCGACCGACGAGCAAGACAAACGTCCATGTCTAGAGAATTCCACTTCATGGACATCTTGCGAAGACCAGGAACCTGAGGAAGGGGAAGAACGTTGCGGTCCACTTTTTTTTTTTTTTAAACTGAGTTATAAATCAGAAGTTTACTCCCTGAACAAAAGCAGAAACTCAGCTCATTGAGGATACAAACTCAGCCAAATCAATAGCATATTGTGCTTTATATAGTGTCAGTTAAATAAAGTTAGGAATTATTTACGGTCCGCCTCTGAATAAGGCACTGGGAAATGCCATGAAGAATAAAGGAGCGGCCCTCAGCCAGAACCTAGAGTGGAATGAGTTACGGGTCAGGCAGGGGGGCAGGTGACATTGAGCGGCATCCTGGAGAGAGCAGGGATGGATTCTGATGCAGGGCACTGGAGGGACGTGGTGGTGGAGACATCACAGGATCTGAACCTTCTGGGAGGAGAAGGTTCTGAAAGGTGAAGAAGGTGAGGTGGGTCTGTTTGGAGAACTCACTCCAAGACGATGAAGTTCCAGATGGCTCCATGCCCAATGGAAGGGCTTCTGAGAGGGAGTGTCCAGCAGGGGAACCTGCAGGATGTGCTGGAAGGCAGAGAAGGGCAAGGGAAAGCACTCGACATGACATTCCACAGATGTCTGACGATATTTTGTAGGCAATGGACAGAGCCATAGGTTTCTGAGAGGGGACTGTGATGAGACACCACTGTACCAGAGTGGTGCGTTAAGAGGCCTTTCTTACTTGTTGACTAAAGAAATCATGGATCCCAGAACCTGTGGTCAACAGGGTGGGGACAGATGGTGTCAGCGTGGGGCAGGGGAATGCGGGGGTTGCTGAGCCGGGTGCAGAGGGACGGTGAGGGAGAAGGAAGGGGTGCTGGCAGCCTTGGCGTGCATGCTATCTCCCTCCCACCATGAAGGTGCAGGTGGGGGGAGCAATTGAGACCCCCCAGGCTGGGGTGCAGAACACCCTTGCTGGTTGTAGCAAACAGGAGAAAGAAGCTCACTCAGGACGATATGCCAAGGGAGTGGGAGCCAGAGCATAAGGTAAGAGCCAGGAAGCACTGAGGACATTAGAGGGCAGAGTTTTGTTTTGTTTTGTTTAGTTTTGGGCCAATAAAATATTTTATCTGGTTGCCATATCAGAAGCAGTACATTTTAAAGGCAAATGATCTAAAAATGATACTGAAAGAAAAAAGAAAACCCATGAAGGAAAAAAATGGATTAGCACCTCTATTTGAACGTTTAAAAATAAATATATACTAAAATATCATAAAGATAAAATGCAAACTAAAAAAGAACAATAAAGAACATTTAAATGCACTAAATAAAAGGCCTATTATTCTTAAAACACCCTACAAATCAAAATAAAGGACCTGCTGTCAGATTTTAAAATACGGGCAAAGAATATGTATAGAGAGGAGAGAGAGTAAATAAGCACTAAGTAATAAACCTAAACGTAAGCAATCAATAAATAAATATGCAAAGAAATGCACAAAGAAGCACGATAACTTACCCATGTTATTTATCAAGATAAGTTGTTACAAAACTTTTTATTACAGAAATCTCACACACATACAAAAGTAAAGAGAAAACGTAGTGAACCTCCACGTGTCCATCACCAAGTTTTGGGATGTTCGTTATTTCAGTCTTGTTTCATTTACTTCTCATTATCTTTACAAAAAAAAAAAAAAAAAGCTCTGGAAACTGTGTCATCTCACCTGTCAGTGTCAATTCTCGAGCACAAGTCTCTCTGCTGAAGGTTCCTGACCCGTGGTGGGGGGACACCTAAGGTGAGCCGGATGCTTATTCATGGACTTCCACGGAAGGCTCTATCGCAGAAGGCTCGCACATTTTCACGAGCATGCTCCAGTCTTCTTGGGGCCACAGCCTTCTCCCCAGACCGCATTCTGAGGTGGTAATTCCCAGTGGATACAGTTCTGTGCCCTCCACACATGCTTTCCGTGACAGCAACAGTGGGCCTCAGAATGCTAAGCATGCCCACTTGCTATGAAACCATCATTTTCAGGAGCCATGCTTGTCCAAATTACAGCAAGGGCTAAGGTCTTCTGAAACCATCCCTAACTGCCCCCCAGAGACCGCGCTCTTCTGTTCAAAGCAAGCAGGCAGAGGCTTGGGGAGGGCATTCCCCTCCCACTGAGGTGGGCCACGTAGTAGAGAGCAACGCTCTACAGAACACGCCACTCTGCACTGGGGCTTGGCAGAGGGGGAGTCAGGGAGTCATCGGCCTTGACTGAAGGTCCAGGTAGAGGGAGGAGGCTCTCTGCTCCCTCTCCTTCTGTACTGGGTGCTTTGTAATGAATCCTGCCCCGGGATGCTCAGGGTGGGTAGTATGCCCATCATGTGTGGCATGGATCCAGACCCTGGATTTCCGTGAGTCCTCGAGGAAGGGCATGTTGAAAAAAGAGAGCCTCTGTGGTGGTAAAGTCTTCATGTAAAACCCCATGGGTTTATGTCAAGTCTTCTAAGAACAGAGCATGGGGCAGGCTGTAGACGGTGGTGTGGCTCTGCATCTTATGTAATGAATCAGTTGGTACCTGCTAGTCACAATGCCTAAAATTCTGTCCAAACCCAAGTGTGTTTAGTCAACAGCAATGGGGTTTGATTCTCCTTTTGTGTCCCCCAGCTTACCAAGTACCCCGTACTCTTTAAATCATGCCTCTCCTGGTGTTTCTGAAATTGGACATCAGTGTTCCTCTACCTCTGATCGTTTATTCTCTATCTCCATGTCTGCCCTTCTCAAGGGATACTTCTCAAAGCTTGGCTCCCTACATGGTTTTGCCACCAGATTTTCCCCTCATTTCTCTTTAAATGTTTTCCTCTGATGCTATAAATGATCCCTACTTCTCCAGCTTCCTTGAAAACTCTGCCTTTTCTATCTTTCCATCCTGGAGCCCCCCTTAAACTCCCAAACTATAAGCATCGTTTATGCATACGCATATATAATGATGCTTATATGTATAAGCATTGTCTACAGCCAGAAGTCCCTCTTAGCTCTTGAACTTCAAATCCAACCCCCAGAATAAACCTCCTCCTCAAACTTTCTTTCTAATTTCTGTTAAAGAGTGCCCTGTTCTCTCGTCCAGAGCCTCAACATCTTGGATCACTGTCACTCCCTCTTCCTGCCTCCTGTCCCAAGCCCATTCTCGAACATTCTCCTTGGGGTGCACAGCCTGTGAAGGCGCAGGTGGGGGAATACAAAACTGCTCTTAGCAACTTAAGTTTCTGTTCCACTGCTCACTCTGAATGACACAATCAGGGAAGTTTCTCCAAAATAGCAGGGAGCACCCCACCACTTCCAAGCCAAGACTACTCTTCCAGAGAGACCCTTTGAATTGGCATTCAATGCTCTTGCCACTTTCTCTCCCATCTTAGTTACTTATCTA